GTATGGTATTGATAAGGGATCTTCTCAGGCAAACAACCCTTTATAAATGAGGCTTTCTTCCTTTGATTGGCAGACTATTACCTAAGCTGGTTGATGCATATGGGCCTTAAAAAAAATAAAGGGATGGTATTATAAATTAGCAGCTTAATATTTTGTCAATAAATATTTGAGTGCCTACTGCATGTGGGGCACAGTTGGAGGTACTGGGATACGGCAGCAAACAAGACAAATAAAGATCCCTGTCTCATGGAGCTTATAATTTAATGGAAGGGGGCAGAGAACACTCAAGTTGACAAGTAAAATGGCACATCATGTGCCAATAAAGGCAACAGGACAAAAATTAAGTGGGGAAGAAGGCTAGGAAGTCCAGCCCAGGAAATGAAGGAGGAGGGGGGTGGAAGTTTCAAATAGGGTGATCCAGATGGCCTCCCTGAGAAAGGGACATCTGAGCAGAGACCTGAAGGAAGTGGGGGAATGAGCTGGACAGTTGGCTGGGCCATGAGCATTCCAGGGAGCAATTGGGTTTTAGCAATACAATTTTAAGGATTAGTGGGTTGCTTTTGTGCAGGCAGTCCATACCCTGCATTCCTTGTCACTTTCAATTAACCATAAGTACACCCAGCTCGCTCATCAAAGAGAGAGTCCCATGTCTCTCCCTTCTGGCAGCCAGAGACAGATACCCCAGTCGGTGCAGGCTGCCATGCTGGACCCGCTGTTGGAAGCAGAGGAGCAGCCCACCCCCTTCTCCTTGGGCCTTCTGCCACCCGGTGAGAGCGCGACCCTGTACACAGCCACCCCATTCCCTCCCCTGCCGAGTCTAAAGGGGGATTAAAATTGACATTTGTTTGTACCCAGTGAGTCTGTACACCCTGTGTAAGGGCTCACTCATGTAGAAGCAAAATCACCCACTCTCAGAGCCACTTTTTAGAACTAAGAATGTAATCTTTGACCAGATTTAAAGAATAGGAGAATTTTGTTGCTGTTGTGAAGTCCTCAAAATTGTTGTCTTTGGAGTGAGGGTGTTAACGAAGAAGTAGATCTAAATATTTGTTAAGCACTCTGTGTATGTTTTTAAAATCACCACGGCGTTTGTAGTTTCTGGTCACCTGCTCGTGTCCCCGCCGCCGACTCGCTGCCAGTTGGTGGCAGAGGTAAAGGTAAGGTACAGTTCCAGGGAGGACACCGTCGGCTGCAGGGCGGCAGGACTGTGTCTGCTTTTCTCACCGCCGTTACCTCCAGGGACTACCTCAGTGCCTGGCACGTAGGAGACGCTCCATAAATGCTCAGGAATGAACGAAGATGACAGCTTTGGTAGACAGAGAAAAGACATGTAGGCTAGAGTGGGAGGGGCACGTACAGAAACGCTGGTGTCTAAAGCAGGAGAGGGAAGACGGATGGGCTGTGATTCTCCCCCTCCGACCTCTAAGACAAGGGGAACTGAAGTGGAGTGTGCCTTTAACACACAAGGGCGGGGGGGCGGGGGGGAACAGGAAGTATGAGGACCTCACTGGCACACAGTTCGGCCCCTCTCCCCCATGTAGATGTTGGATTACTTTGGTCAATTTACTTAGTACCTTGGAGACTCTGTTCCGTCCTCTGGAAAATGGGGGTAACAACACTGACCTCACAGGTTTGCTGTAAGAACTAAGGAGGATAATGCATATAAAGCCCTCGGCACAGAGACTTCTGCCATAAAAAAGTCATAGTAGACCCTCACGTTTTCACTTCACACCGACACACTGAGAGACAGTGTAGATCGTGGTTGGGAGCAGGGATCTGGAGCCAGACTGGCTGAGTCTGAATCCCAGCTTTATCACTCAGAGCTGAGTAGTCTTAAGAAAGTTGCTTAATTGCTCTGTGTCACAATTCCCTCATCTGTGAAAAACAGGACAAGGATGCCTATCTCATTGCATTGCTCTGAGGATTAAATCAGTTAATAAATGTAAACCACTTAGAACACTATCTGGCACAGAAGCATTATTACTGTCTGCTCGGCGTTTCTCGTATCTGTTTCCCACTTTGATTCCTCCAGGGCCGGAGGAAGTAACGAGACTATGAGGGAGCAGACGCGTATGTTGCTCTTGTCGGATGGGCTGGATCCAGGTCTCATTTCAACACTGGTTTGCAAACTCCGGCAGACACTGGGTTCACCCTGAGGCTTGTTAAAGCACAGGTCATGGAGACCCCCACCCTCAGAGTTTCTCATTCAGTAGGTCTGGGTGGGGTTTGAAATTTTTTATTTCTAACAAGTGCCCAGGTGGTGCTGAGGCTGCTAGTCCAGGGACCACACTCTGAGAACCATCGTGATGTAACAAGGAAGGATGTCCAAAGCTCCAAAAAAAAGAAGAAGGAAGGATGTGTAAAGAGATGGGAGTTCTGGAAAAGTCCAAATAGGACTGAGCAATGGACACTAGTGGAAAGAATATGTGTTCATTTATTCATTCAACAAACATCTACTCACTCTCCACTGTGAGCTGGGCCCTTTATTCACCCATCATTTGAAAGGACCAAGATTTAGGGGAGTAGAAACGACAGTGAGTTGGAGAGGACTATCAATGTATCAAATTAAAACAGTATAGCCTTTAAAGAAAGAAGCCACATAACTCCTTACGCCTAACTCCACATCCTGTCCCCATTAAGCCTAACTCAGGCATCGTTTGTGTTTGTGTATCATTTGTGTGTGTGTATCGTTTGTGTGTGTGTGTGTGTGTGTGTGTAGTAGAATTATACATAAAATTGACCATTCTAAGATTTTAAGTGCACAGTTCAGTGACATCAAGTACATTCACATTTTCATGCAGTCATCACTCCTGTCCCCCTCCAGAATGTTTTTTCATCTTCCAAACTGAAACTCTATACCTGTTCATCAATAATTCCCTATTCCCTCCTCCCATGCATCCCCTGGCAGCTACCATTGAACTTTCTGTTTCTCTGGATTTGACTACTCTCGGTCCCTCACGTAAGTGGAATCATACAGCATGTGTCCTTTTGTGACTGGCTTATTCCACTTCATACAGTGTCTTCAAAGTTCACCTATGTTGTAGCATGTGTCAGAATTCCCTTCCTTTTTAAGAATTCATATTGCAATGTATGTATACACCATGTTTGTTTATCCATTCTTGCATCAATGGATGCTTCGGTTGTTTATACCTTTTGGCTACTGTGAATAGTGCTACTATGAACATGGGTGTATAAATATCTGCTTGAACCCTGATTTCAACTCCTTTGAGCATATACCTCTAAGCATCATTTTAGAGCAGATAAATTTTGTTTGGGTGAAAATTAAGGTCACACATCCCCCATCCAACCCTCTACCTCTTCGCTTTATAGAACATTACCCCTCCAGACACGCAGGCACCCAGATCTCTCAGCTGCCTGAATCTGAAAAATCATCTACACCTCCAGGTAAATTAGCACAACAGGGACCAGGGGAATATATCTCAGTGCTTTGTGGGCTGAATGCATGCATGAATCTCCCTTTCGTTATGATGACAACCTTACCAACACACTGTCCAAACACACTCGTGCCAGGAGCTTATTCAGTACTATTCAGAGATTAAACAATTTAGTCTCTGGAATCAGACACCTGGTGGAGGAACCTGGCCTTACTATTTACTGGCTGTTAAAGCAAATGATTTAATCTTTCTAGTTTCAATTTCCTGATCCATAAAATAGGAATACTAGTTCCTATCTACTTGGTTGTTTGGAGAATCAAGGTGAGATGAGTTGTACTAATTAAATTAAGATAAGATAAACCAAAATAAGGTAAAGAACTTAACCTAAAGCCTGGCATATGGTCAGAACCCAACAAATATTGGGCATCGTTAGTATTATAATTATATTATAATTGGGTAACGTCTTCAGATATATGCCAAGAAAGTTCCTGCTACCTAAGTACACTGAAGGACATTACAATGAGCATGGAATTAACACTAGGCCAGAGGCCCAGAAGCCTAAACAATGGACATTTTTTTAAACATGGGATTCAAAATTACAAGCTGGCTACAAAAGATTAAAAGATGTCTTTGGACTGGGAAGATATTTTGGGGCAGGGTCCTCTGTGGCACCCACAATTGCACCAGAGTCCCCAGCAGTTAACTATGGATGTAAGTACTTTTGAGGTTTTTTTTTTTCTTCTCAGTTTGCAAATGGCAGATAAAAAACGGATTCTAGAACAATGGAAATTTAAGATAAGAAATAGTTACAGCCAATTTGGCCAGGCCTCCTCCTAGGATGGCCCCAATCCTTCTGGGACATGTTCTGACGACTGGATGCCCTTTTTTCTAAACCTCTGAAAGGGGATGATGTTCCCGCCATTTCCCTTGGAAGAATATTCCACGGTGAAATATGACTCAGGGCCCTTGCCTTTGCGATTCTCTTTCTTCTCTTGACCCACTTTCGTCTTGCTGTGCCCTTGTGTACAAAGTCAAACGCAGCCTCCCCTGGAGGAGGTTGTTCTGTGAGGACTGACATTTAAAGACCATTACCACCTCTCACACTCAGCCCTGTTCATTTAGCCAAGCAAAGCATGTTTAATTCTTTTAATCTCCTCTCATAAATCAATCTCTTCGTTCCCTTAATAGTCCTTCTCCTGTGCTCCGTATTCCTTCCGGTCTGGCCATCCTAAGCTCTCGTTCCATTTACACTTGAGAATGGCCAGTCAGTCACAAAAACGGCTCTCAGGAAAAACAGCCGGGCCCGCCAGGGGTCCGAGTGCTCACACAGTGCTGGGCTGTCTGCTGTCTGTAGGCACTGTGAGCCCGGAGAAGAGCCCTGCCTGCTGGCCGGACCCGAAGGCCTTCAGGCATTTGCTGCCTACTCCATTATGCATCTTTCTGATGGACCTGACCCACCCCGCCTATGGTCAAGGGAAGTGCCCGAGAAGCCACCTCAGGCACTTGGGTCTCTTCTGTCACTCAAGCTCCTCAGTATGTCCACCTTCCACCTGGCTTCCACCCGTGAGGGCACGAGGGCCACAGAGGATCCCAGAGGGGTCTTACCTGGAAGGTCCCAGCGTGGTCTTCTTCCTTATCACCCTCTCTGTTCTCTTTGAGGGCAATTAAGGTGAATCCTCTGAAGTAGGAAGGAGGGGCAGCTGAAAGCGTTACTGTGGAGAGAGAGGAAAGCAAATTAAGAGCACAGGAATTAGCTGCTTCCATCTGACAAACGGATGTTTCCGAGTTCTCCATCAATACGCCAGATCTGTGGGTTGGAGGGACTGCAGACAGTGGAAAAGCCTCATCCCTTTGAGAGTTGTGAACTGTTGCCCTCCACCCTGCTCCCCCTTACATTTCAGAGCTTGCGAAATGCCTCAGCTATGATCTCACTTGGGCCTCCCTGAACCAACAGAGGTTCGGTGAGTTCCTTCCTAGTATCCACAATTTGATAAAGATAGTCCCTGGTCAGCAACCCCTGTCTTGACAGCTATCTAATGTTACACTTCCATTAGACTGGTCCAAGAGAAATCTAGCCTCTCACAGCAGAAACTCCCTTACGAAGTCCTTGGGCGGGGAGAGACTGCTGTGTGTTTTCCAAAACATACTTCCTTGTTCTTGTGGGCTCTCAGCTAGACCACATTCCCAGGCTCCCCTGAAGTTAGGTCTGTTTGCACCCTCGTTCTGCCAAGGGAAAGCACAGACAGACATGATGCTTACCACTTCCTGCCTGGCCCACACAAACTTTCCACAGGATCCTCCACTCTTCCTTTCCCACCTATGGCTGCAGAATGCAGGGGATCCAGCAGAAGACTCTGGTGTCCTGGGAGAAGTGGTGGAGTCACGAGATGGGAGGAACCTGGGTTTCTGAATAACTACACAGAGAATCACCCACTGACCAGAAACATCCATATTATACTTTGCATGAACTGGAAATAAACTTATATTACAGCAGCTGGAGTTATGAATCTACATTATACTCTTCCTTCTCACATCTACCCAGATAACTATGTTTTCATGGAAATCTAGCCCAAGGGCCTTCTCAGCAATAATGGTCATTCCTTCCTTTGTATCCCCAATTTCCCGAGATGGAAATCCTTTATTGCACTTTTGGCACCGCATTGCAATTCTCTTTTTACCTGCCTTCTCCCCTGGACTATGAGTTATGCTGGAGAGGAACTCATTTTAATTCTCTTTGTACCCCTAGCACCTAGCACAGAGTCTGACATCTAATAAGTGCTCAATTCAGGTTTCTTGATATTTATATAAGTTGAGATTTAAATTACTCTGTGGATCAAAGTGCTAAGATTCTGGCCTTTAAACATGGAATTATAGACTATTAGAGCCTCAAGCCTATCCCAAGAATCCTTCTATTTTCACAGACAGGAGACAAAGACACAGAGAGGTCAACAGACACCCCAAGGTAGTCAGACCATCCAGAGGCAGACTTAGGGCCAGACTCCCTCCCCAGCTGAACATTCCGCCCAGAATTGTACATAGTGAGTATATTTCGCATAGTATGGGTATTCCACAAGGGTTAAGTTTTGAAATTTTAAAAACCAATTCATGTAACATATAACATTTATGTGATTCTGATAAGCAACCCCTTGTCCGGGAAGGATGTTCTAGTCTTCTAGTTTCAGTCCTAAACATAAAGGACCCCCAAACCCTAAAAACTAAAACAACCATCTTAGATAAGGCAGCAGTGGTCATAATGACATCTCAGGGAAGGACTTTGAGACACAAAGATTGCAAATCTCATGCTCTAATTGGTCAGTTCATCCCACAAAAGTAATAGAGCATTCTGATAGGCTACTGATGTCTAGAAAAGGTCAGATAGATCTTCCTAGCAAGGAAGAAATGGTGAGAGAAAAAGCACGGTAAAACGGAGTCAGGAAAGTATGGTGCTCAACACTGGCCAGCAGAAAATGATGACTATGATGTCAGAAGAAAGAGCGGAGATCTCTGAGGGACAGACTGACAGCCTTAGTCTGAGGCTATCTAGAGTGGGGTGGCAATGAACGAACAAAAGAAAACGGAAACAGACTCATGGTTACAGAGAATAATCCAGTGGTTGTCAGACGGCAGGGGAGTGGGGGGGGTGGGTGAAATAGGGGAAGAAGATTGAAAGGTATAAACTTCCAGTTATAAAATAAATAAGACATGGAGATGCCACATACAGCATAGGGAATATAGTGATATTCTGTAAATACTGTAAAAACTTTGTGGGGCGACAGATAGTAGCTAGATCTATCATGGTGATTGCTTTGTAATGCATAGAAATGTTGAATCACTATGTTGTGCACCTGAAACTAATATAATATTGTATGTCAACTGCACTTCAATTAGAAAAACTCTACAGGTGGGCATAATAACAGCACTTACCTCCAAGTATCAGTGTGAAGTGTAAATGAACTAATACACGTAAAGTTCTTAAAATCCTGCCTGGAATATAACAGGCACTTAATAAATATTAGCTCTTATTATCAGTGATGAGATTATCACACTGCATTTTGTGGATAAGTGTTTGTTTACCTATTCGTTCAAGTCCTTCAAAAGCAAGAACCACACCTAAGCTTGGCACAGTGATTAGCACAGAGTTGTGCAATTAAGTTTACTGAATTGTGTTCATGGACTAGTAAACTCAGTATTACAAAGATGTCAGTTCTTCTCAAATTGATTTATAGATTTAGTGCAATCTAAATTAAATTGCCATCATGTTTTTTTGTGAAATGACAGATTGATTCTAAAAGTGTATGAAAAGGCAAAGGGTCAAGAATATCCAAGGCAATCTCTAGAAGTGAAAAGTTGGTGGGCTTGTACTATCACATATCAAGACTTATGCAGCTATAGAAGTTCAGCCAGTGTATTCTAGCAAGGAAAGGAAAAAAGGCCAATTGTATAGGTTGGGCTCCAGAAAAAGTTCCACAAGTACCTGGAAACTTGATGTATAATTAAGGATGTATACTGCAGAGCAGCTGGGGGAAAAGACAATTATCTTCAACAGAGCTGCTGGGGCAACTGGTCAACTAGGTAGAAACAGGTGAATCTTGGTCTTACACATCATACACAAAATAAACTTTGCACAGATGGTAGAGCTAAATGTTTAGAACAAAACAACAAAGCTTTCAGAAGTTGGCCGAGGATAAAATATGAATGAACTTGGAGTCAGAAAGACTTTTTAACAGGACATTTAAAAAAAAAAACACTGACAATAAAGGAGAAGATATATAAATGGGATGATATAAAAATTTTGCTCAAGAAAAGACACCATTAGGAACAAGTATGGCAGAGTGTAGAAGAAGATATTTGCAACGTATTTAACCACAATTGACTTTAATCCAAAGCATTTAAAAACTCTTTCAGATCAATAAGAAAAAGAGACAACCCAATAGAGAAAAATAGGCAAAACATATGAACTAATACTTCATAAAAGAAGGTGCCCAAATGGCCAAAAAGCATATAAAAAGACACTCAACCTTGTTAGTGAACAGGGAGATAAAAATTACTGCATTTCTACCAGATTGACTAAACGTAAAAGGATTAACAATAGCAAACGTTAACTGGAACTTTCACACACCGGTGAACCAAAAACAAGCAATTTTCAATGGAAAAGTCTTCGGCAGTATTTACTGAGGCTGAACACATACATACCCTATGATCCAGTAATACCACCCTAAATCAACAGGGATGCATACAGATGTGTGCCACACAACACCTGTCAGAAGATTCCCAGTAACATTGTTTGTATCGGCACCCAAACGGAAACACTCAATGTCCATTATCAGTAGGACGGATATGTAAGTTGTGGCATATTCATACAATTGAATGCACTGTAGTCATGAAAATGAAGGAATTACTACTACATACTACAACAGGACTGAACCTCATAAACATAATCAAGTGAAAGAAGACACACAAAATAATACAAAAGCTGTGTGTCTTCTTTCACTCAAGATTTATATAAAGTTCAAAAACAGACTAATCTATGATGCCAGAGGTCAGGACAGCAGTTACACATGTGGCAAAGTGGAGTGAGAAGTGATCTGGAGGGGCACAAGGGATGCCTCTGGAGTGCTGATCATGTTCTGTTTCTCAATCTGGGGACCGGTTGCCTGAGTGTATTCAACATGTGATAATTCACTAAGCTTTGTGATTTGTGAACTTTCCCATTGGTAAGTTATATTTTGATAAAAATATTATTAAGTAATGTTTCTGAATGATAAATATTCACTTTTTGTACATCTGGGTAGTACACTTAAAGGGCTAACCATAAACTCAGCTTCCCAGAGTGCTGCATTCCTGTCGGTTCGAAAACACTGAGGGCATATTCTACCTCACTGAATACAACCCACAAGATGCAGGCTCTGGAGGCTGAACTCAGTGTGGGGCTTCGATCCCCAATTATCGCTGGTGATGATGGTAGTACACAGTATAATCTGAAGGAAGACAAGAGATCCGATCCCTCCAGAGAGCCCCATTATATGACTCTTTCCTGAAAGAGTGTAGTATGTTCTGAGTCCCAGTAATGACTGAAGATGACAGCTCGGCAATAAATAATAGAATCTTCTCTCTAATGACGCCTCCAAAGTGCCTCCCAAGAGAGGCCATTAAGAGACCCAAGAAATTCAAGAAAAAAATGCTTATGAAGGATTTAAAAACAAAAACAAAAAAAGGTCCATTCAGAGCCATCCTGTGAGCACATCCAGGGAACTGGTTGAGAGCAAAGATGTCGGATGAGCATTCTAGAGCTATCATTTATTAATTATGTGACCACTGGCAAGTTATTTCACTTCCCTGTTCCCTCATTTTAAAAAAGAAGTTAATGATATTGCCTTCCTTGTAGGAATGTGGAGAGGATTAAATAAACATTTATCACAGAGCCTGGCATAAAAGGATTCAAGACCTGTAATGGACGCTGGTGGGGGTGCTGGTGACTTTGGGGCTGAAGAAGATGATGACGAAGGTGATGATTATGATGATAAATATCATGATGCTCTGCAGGCTGATTAACCCACAATGGTTTTCAAAAAGCTGGTCCTCAAGGACAATCATTGAACCACCAAAGAAAATCTCTAGGGGGCGCTAATGAAGGCTCACTGAGAGGACTGCAGTGGGGGTAATCCTCACAGGATTTGGGGAAGATCCTCAAAGTCCAGGTTATGGGGAGATC